GATGCGGTGGTCACGGCTGATTTGTCCTAATGTGAACAGTCGGATAAAAATACCTGTGTGTGTTTCTAAAAGACTAAAATGGTAACCAAGAGGAATGATAACGGATAGTTGTAAGATGAGAAAAATTCAAATTAAAAATTGGCAACGAGGTTTTTATGAACAATTTCATGGAAAACTACTGTTCTGTTCCATTCGTCACACTCAGCAAACCTCATCAGGATCTCACTAGCAGTGTGTGAACAATACATTGGTACACGGAGAGCGATGCATTGTGTATGCGGAACACTTTACAGAACCGAATTAAATTTCAGACAAAACTAAAGAACAGCTGCCACACAATGCTCAAACAATGCAAAACGTAGCGAACTTGTTTCTGCGTCCCTATATTGAATTGGTCGGTTCTATGGAGTCCACGGTTGCCATTTTTCGGTCTACTCATTTAACTGCAAACGTGTATGTCTCAGTTTCAGTTTGTACAACCATTAACCATGCACTTTCGTGCGCCGGTTTTGATTACGGTCTTTTTGCTGCCCATTTGGATGAACGTTAGGAGAAAGACAGGAAAATTGCAAGTGGGATCAAAGAGAAAATCTAGAATATTAGTGGGCTAGGGTTGCAGAAAAATTGAGAAGACGCAAGAACGCCACTGTTTACGACAACCAACCGTATCATTCAGTGTCTTCAACCATCGGTAACGATCATCTCGAGGTCCCCAGCCAGGGAGCCTAACGGGATCTATGTGACCCAGACTCCTGATCAGGGTTTTCATACCCTCGTGCCAGGTGGTAGTTTGACCACCCTTGGCTTTTTTCCACTCGGTATCTGGTTCGGCGAACATCACTCGCCGTGGTAACCTACCTGGTGACATGCGTAACACATGTCCCAGCCAGCGTAATCTATGGAGGTCAACCATTTGTTCCAGTGGGAGACCACGGTTACCTAAAACTCTACGCCTAACCTCAGCGTTATTCGTCCGGCTGCCCCACCAGATTCGTGCAATGCTGCGTAGACAGCGATTTCGAACACCGATAATCTATCTTTATCCTGTTTCCCTAATGGCCACGTTGCTGCGCCTTATAGCAGAACTGGCCGAACTGCCGCAGCATACAAGTTGGCAAATGCCAACCGAGCCTTCTGTATGCGAGCTGAGACTTCATCCGTGATTTGTCCACCGGGTGAGATGTAGCTGCCTAAATTACAAAACGAATCCACTTGCTCTATTACTTCTCCAGTTAGCGTGAGGCTGGGTGCTGGACCGACCCAGTGTTGTAGTAACATTTTACACTTTGAAGGTGTAAAATGCATACCGAACATGGCTACGCTGGCATTCAGGCTGTCCAAAAAGCTTGCAAGTTAGCTGCATCTTCACTTAGTAGCACAATGTCGTCTACATACTCTAGATCAGACAGACTGCCACCTGGGAGTAGATTGATACCACTTTCCTCGCACGAGGATAGGGCTGTTTCCATAATCAGATCTATAACAAAGTTGAATGTAAAACGGGAGAGAGAGCAACCGTGAAGAAAACCACTTTCTTAGGTGAACACGGGCAAAAAGGCGCCGTAAACCCAGGCGCAACTTCGGTTATTTGTATAAAGCGATCGTAACATTTAAATAGACTTCTCGGGCACACCCTTCAAGGAAAGGCAGCACCAGAGTTCATATCGGTCGACTGAGTCGAAAGCCGCTTTCAAATCGAGAAAAGCAGAGATGGTGGGCCTACGAAAGGGATGTCAGTACTCCAGAGTTTGGCGGATGGATGAAGATGTACTCGCATTATGAACATCGTATATGGTGCGCACAGCCGATTTGTAGTTCCCCCAACCACGATCAGTGAACTGTGAATGTGCTTGCTACTTGAGAACAACAAGAACAAAACTCACTTGGGATAGAGCAGAACCGTTTGTGAAAGTGCAATAATTCAGCATTGGACTCGCATCGTCAGTCTCCACAAATCGGTCACAAATATTCCGGAGAATGTGCACAATATGGTTCACACACACGCACACTTAGCCACACAACCGCGAGAATAATAATAATCACCGATTCCGAACAAGCTAGTGTTGACATGAAAAACCTTGATGTCAATCGTGTTTACGGTCACCAGTCACCACTGATGATGATGATGATAACAGCAAAAACAACACTGGTGCTGCAGCACAGATTCGGGATACTTATCTGGCGTATCTGAAACCCTGGATCAGACTGGTTTCATCCTCAAGCCAGCTCGCTTGTTCCCTGCATATATAGATGTGCGCACGCAGAGTAGTAGTAGTAGTGGTAGTAGTAGTAGTAGTAGCGTTTCAATCCACCTATCGGCTTACAATTCTACGCACACAGACATGTGCGTGCGTGCGGGTGTGGGAAGGCTGTTTTATGCTCGACGCACACCGACTCACATGCCACACAGGGAGTTTGTTTTGTTGTTGTTGTTTTTTTGGTCCCGCCTCCTCCCCCTTTTTTATCCGTTGAACTTCTAACCTCGTGTCCAACGCATAAAATGTGATGATAAACATACACACACACACACAGGCTGTGTGCGAGTACAGACCGGGACCTGGTTGTCTGTTTCCCGTCGTCGTCGTCTGTTCGCTTACACGTACGTGTCCGGGTCACATGCGTCTGTCTGAAGCGGTTTACTCACCCCCGGATTTCTCCCAATGGAACACATCTACGCCACTGAACACGTGATCGCTCCTCGCTGCGCGCACACACACACTACTCGTTCTACCGGATTTGTCGTTTTCACTGCGGTTCGTCGTCGTCGTCAGTGTTACGCATGAGTGTGTGTTATGCGGATGAGGGTTTTGCTGTGAAAAAATAGATGGAACCGTGTGGTGACCTATAACGTGTGGAGCTTTTGTCTTGTCGTTACAAGTAATTTCATGCAAACTTCCCCTCCCCCCCCGTATTCTGATGGCATCCGGAGGGACTCCCTACAGAANCCGCGATATACGGAAGCGAATCTTGACGTGTCCATCAGTGTTGCAGTTCATAGTTGGTTGTTATCTTGTCGCAGTTAGTTATCAAATGTAAGCGCCATGGGATTGCTGAAAGTTGTGTAGCATTGAGCTGCTCTTTAATGCAACCACTGTTTGATAATGTTCCATATAATTTCCACACAGGGAGCTCGAGAAAGAGAGAGAGCTTGAATCTGTGTTTACCTGTAATACGCCGACTAGTTAACCGCCATATATATATATATATATATATATATATATTTCATTGGACTATTAGAGGGATGTTCCAGGTCTGATTTCCTCTCTAGTGAATGACCCTCAGTTGTAAAGCAAAAGCAACACGATGCACGCGAGCAATCAAGCGTTTCATCTGCCTTGGCCTTGACAACCTGGTAGTAATCAGCCCACATGCAAATCGTGGAGCGTTTTTCTTTTCTATAAATATTATTGTACTATAATTTGTTTGGCATAGTCTGGCATCAGATATGTAAAATATAAATTTATCAGTGGTGAATGATTTTTAAACCGTAGTTTTACCTTACCATGTTTGTGCTCTCTCACCTGATCATATCCCTTGAGCCGAAATGTGTGTTTGTCATTGGATTATTTGCGGATGCCAACACTGATCTTCACTAATTATTTACAACGTGAATAAATTTTGTCTTATTCCGGTACGGGAGAGTTTCGACGCTAAATATCTCCTCACTGTTTCCCTCTTCAGGTCGTTGTTGCTCGAATCGACCCGGTCATACTGCCCTTAAATCAATGGGCCGTTCGGAAAAGCATAAAGGCAAGCGTCATGGTAAATCGGGAAAGGAATCGTCTAGCAAACGTCCCCGTTTATCAAATCCCTTGAAACCGGAGGATGAAGATTCTTGTATGTCTGGATCAACCGGTCGTACAGAAGATCCGTATGATGATCCGGAATACGAAGACGATCAGGATGATCCGAAAAACTACGACGGGGATGCAGATGACGATGACGAGGAAGACGAGTACGAGTCGGGTTTGGTGGACGCGGATGAGGCACGTGTCCTGTCACGAGCTCGCAGTTCAAAATCGATAACATTCAACAAATCCAGCACCGTAGATGTAAAAGATCAAACTCAGTTGGGGAAACCCATCCCCGGTGCGGCGGGATCTACATCCTCCGGTGTTGTTTGTACCCCTCGGGATGAGTTTGGTGCGAAGGATATGCGCCATTTGTTGCAATTACGTGCCGATCATCCTTGCCGTCCCCTATGGATCGGTCCGGACGGACACATCTTCCTTGAAGCATTTGGTCAGTTGGCACGACAGGCGCAAGACTTCTTGGTGGCAATCGCAGAGCCTGTGTGTCGCCCCACGCACATTCATGAGTACAAATTGACTTCCTACTCCTTGTATGCCGCGGTCTCAGTCGGGTTACGAACCGGGGAGATAATTGGTTGTCTTCGTCGGCTCTGTAAGACCGATCTACCTGCAGGCATTGTAGCTTATATTCGGAGTTGCACTCTGTCCTACGGAAAAGCCAAGTTAGTGCTTAAAGGGGGACGATTCTTCGTCGAGAGCCCGCATCGTCGGTTTTTGCAGCAGTTAGCTAATGACTCGATCGTGCGTCAGTGCCTAATTCGAACACGTCCCCCAGATGACCAAGGGGATGGAGCTCCGGACACCGTTGTATTGTACAATGCGGCTGAGCTGGCCCAAACGGATCCGATTTCATTTGCTGGCACAGAGCAGACCACACAAAATTCAGGCTTAGGTGCTGCGGCCATGGAAGTGTTACATTTGTATGCCCAATTAGATGCAGAGGAAGAAGCGAAGGCGGAACAGGCAGAGAAATGCGGTGATGATGGAAAGAATACAAAAAACAATTTTCTCACTTCGGCCGGCACCAACTTGGATTTGGATGCCATCGGGATGGAATCTGAAGCGGCCGACCGTGAAGGGGAACTAGACGATGAATCACTAGACGGGGATTCTGTTGTGGACGCGAAGCATGGATTTGCGGCTCCCGAGAATGCCACCCTTTTAGCTATGGAGGTTATTCAAGATCAGATCGAGCTCTTACAGCGACGGTGTATCGAGTTGGAGGTTCCCCTGTTGGCTGAGTACGATTTTCGACAGGATAAATTGAATCGGGACATAGCAATTGATTTGAAAGCAAGCACTACACTACGTCCGTATCAGGAGCGTAGCTTACGCAAAATGTTTGGCAACGGACGTGCCCGGTCCGGTGTGATTGTTTTGCCTTGTGGCGCAGGAAAAACATTGGTAAGCGTTTACCGTGAATTGGTTATGATCCGGTTCTCTAATCCTGATACATAATGTCACTCTAATACTGTTCTCGTTGTGTCCAATTGCGTTGCACGAAAACAGTACTGCTATCTAATCATATGGTGTCTAGACTATCATTGCCTAGCTAATGGACGTATGAGATTTTAAGCTTTATTACATACTATTATTACATTATTATAATATTTCACACACGTCTAAGTTCAGACTGTGTGCCAAACAAATCACGGTACAGTAATCTTTATGAAAAGAAAAACATTCCACGATTTGCATGTAGGCGGGATACTGCCAGGTTGTTCAATTCAAGGCAGTTGAATTTTATTGGGCAATCCCAAACCGGAGCCTTCAGCTAGCTAATGCCTGACCCGCAAGGCAGCGGGGCGGTGTGCGAAAATCGCAATCCATTGGGGGCTGGTGTTTAGTTCATCGGATCGTTCGCTCTTCGGACAGGGTCAAACATCCGAGGTGCCCAATACACCTTGGTTCCCAATCCAACCGGTGACCACTGCCACAACCGGGAAGGGGTGTTGGGTTCACACGCCTCCTCTTGGTTGACTTGGAATCAGGGCTTTTGGCCAACTCACCTAGGTGAACTACCAGTGGTCCACCAACCCGGTTATAGCCCCGGATGTCGGCTTGCCGTCCTCTCACTTTGGTGCAAAATCACCTCCGCAACGAGGAAGCAGTGAATGGGACTTCCTCAGGAGAGGCTATTTGAGACGCTTGATCGTATAGGTGCAACGGAAAGGTGACTGGTCGCAACCCTAGACACCCACCCGCAACCATACGGAGAATTTCGGAGGCTAATTACTCCATTATTACTCTGAATTACTCTTTTATTACATACTAGGGTAAAGAAAAACAGAAAAAAGAAAGAACGTTATAGTCACTAAGTTAATGGAAATTTGGGTGACTATGTATATCATGACCTGAGGGCCCGAAGCACGACAGTGGCAGCGATTCACACCACTTGACCACGGCCGGGATCACCAATCTTCAGTATTTCAATCGGCTGGCTGGACCGTAGTTAGTTAGATGTCGCA